TTTGCGGTGGTTGCCGTGGGACATCGTCGGTGCTGGTAAGCGGGGCATAACGAGGCTTTCTCGATGGATCTTGTCTGTTTGTTCGAGCCGACGATGGAGCGAGGTGCCTGTGGCGCAGGAGCTGTCGATGGGGAATATGATGAACTCCTCGGTGCGAGGTACGGCTAGTCCTCGCATGGCGTCTTTGAGATGGTCCACTAGATCGTCAAGGTGGAGGGCAAGTAGAAGGAGCATCCACACGAATACGCTGTTGACCACAGGTGCCTCCGTCATCCTCTGCATGCCGCTGTCCTCAGTTATCCTGTCGACTTTCTGTAATATTGTTACAAATGATCCTGCCGACGTATGGATAAGCTGGCAGTACGTGAGGCGAGTGTTGATGTTTTTATAAGGTATCGGCTCTAACTAATTGGAAGATATGTGACATATACTAAAAGTGTCATTATTATTATACAGTTTAAAATATACGATATACATACATGCATATATACATACATACTGACTTTTATATATATAGGGATAAAACCAACTAATTATATGATTTTTTCATAAAGTTATAAAAAATGATTCAATTAGTGATAAATAAATAGTTATTAAGATAATGTATATATATATTTGTTGTTTCCAAGTTCGTCTGCTGATATAGATAGAAAATTTGTTTGTTTTTTTACAAACAGTTTGTATTTCTCTACTTGACATTGATAAGCCAGTATAAGAGCGTCGTTCCTTCGAAAGCTCACCTTTTCCAATAGTAAAAAGATACACATTATTGATATTTAATTAATTTTTGAATAAAGCTAGGTCTTTTAGTAAAAACTGGGTCTGATCTAGTGCACGGAGACATTGAGATAATAAAACAAAAAGCCCTACGCCGTTCCAAGGTGGGGTACCAATATTTATAAATACCAATTTACAACGCCTAACTGATATTAATGAGAAAGATGTTAATACGTCAAAGAAATAAACTTCAATAATCAAACAGCTTATGTCAGGTATATAGATAAAGCCAACTTTGCACTTAAATCTGGTGATACTGAGCGATTTTTCAAAGGGGCTTGAGGGAGAATCTTTGAGCGGAGGTTCAAAATGAACCTAGGACAAAGAGCAAACGCTTTATTTTTAAAATCGTAAAAATATCCAGTTAAACAGTTACCTTAATGAGGCAAGTTAAAAGAGATAACACGCAAATATTCAGATAGGTTTCACGTTTCAAATTGAGCCAAGAATATTGAAAAAAAAAAAAGGCTAGCCCGTCAAATTTCTATCACACACAGAAAAGGAAATATCGAAAATAAGAGAAAATATAAAATATAACTTCTCTCAATCTCTCTCTCTCTCTCTCGCTGATGACTAGCAGAATTGATTGTTGATGAAATAAATGTTGTTGATAGTGAAACAATTCGTTGAATAATAGTGGAAAAAAAATAGGCAAGGAAAAAGTTTCTTCCGCATTTTACGTAAAAACATTAACATGTTGAATATGCATAAAAAAGACACACTTTTAAAACAACTACTAAAAACAATTATTCATTAATTCAATTGGGGCAGCAAATAAAAATGGTATTTCCGCTTTAATCCTACAGCTAAACTGCAAAGTGCTGAATGGAAATCAGACTCACCAAAAGGCAAAATAAATTCGTCTTTAAACAATATTGGCGTATTTGTACAGCAGTAAGAGCATTATACCATGAATTTATCCGTGAAAGGAAACTGTTAATAGTTAACTGTTATTTAGAACATTGAGATTGATTTTTGAGAGCTTTATTCCTTGCTTTATGTCCGGCTAAATCGAGCAGTTGGCTTTTACTACACAACATGAATAATTCGAGCCTCGAAAAACTCTTATTTCAAACCAAGGGCTTTTAAACCTTAATCGGATACTCATAGAAAATAAGTTAGTTTAATCTTAAACCTGCAATTTGTTCTGAATTATCCTTATTTATTGGGTTGTAAAGAAAGTTTGTTAGGTTTTATTTAGACAAAAAAAAAACATTAATTATAACAATTAATTAATCAATTATGTATTCTCCGTTATTATTTACGACCTCCTCCCAACGTTCGACTAGTTTGTTGATGCCGTTCCACCAAAAATCGCCCGGTCTGGTGTCGAAGAAGTTGTTGACCAGATTTTGAGGTCCTCTTCATCATCGAAGGTAGTGCTTCTCATATGGTTTGACATGGATCGGAAAAGGTTGAATCGGTTGGTGCAAGGTCCGGAGAGTACGGCGGGTGCTGTAGAACTTCCCATTCGAGCTCTTGAAGGTTGGCCTTGACGACTTGTGCAACATGCGGCCTAGCGTTGTCGTGAAGGAGAATGATTTGACCTTGTCGATCGGGTCTTTTCTGTTGAATAGCCTCATTCACGCGATGCAATTGGGCAATGTATAGATCCTTGTTGACCGTGGCATTCCGTTCGAGCATTTCCCAGTAAAGCACACCTTCTCAGTCCCAAAAAACGCAGATCATAGCCTTTTGAGGTTGAATATCTTGCTTTATTCTTGGCCTCGGCGTATCTCCTGGAGCCACCCACTCTTTTCTTTGCTTCATATTCACGTATAGACACCATTTTTCATCCTCCGTAACGATTCTGTATAAAAATCATTGTTTATGGCTCCGTGTTGATTGATGGCGTGCGAGATGTTGAGCAGCGATTTGAAGGCGATTTTCTTTGTTGGTTTCATTAAGCTCGTGAAGCACCCAAGCTCCGAGTTTTTGAGAAAACCTATTGATTGAAAATGGTTGGAGATGGTCACAGCACTACATTTCATTTTTTCGGCCAACTCACGGGTTGTTTGGCGACCATCTTTCTTCAACAGGGCCTTTAGATGTTCCTCATCGAATTCTGATGGTCGTCCGCTTCGAGGCGTGTCTTCAAGGTCCAAGTCGCCGTTTTTGAACTTTGCAAACCTTTTTTGTGCTGCTTGCTTCCCTATGGCACCTTTTCCATACACGCTGCATATGTCCTTAGCTGCTTTGGCTGCTTTTTGACCTTGATGAAAAGCGAAGAAAAGCAGATGTCGAAATGTTGAGTTTTGCCTCCTGGATATTCCATTTTCAAGCCTGGAAAATGAACAAAAAATTACGTGTTTCAAAGAAAAAAAAATACAGGTTTGTAGAGCAGAACAAGTGCTATTTAAAAAATATAAACACTTTACCGTATAACAACAAAAACCGTTATGAAACAAAGGGATACAAAAACCAAACGAACTTTCTTTGCAACCCAATATATCCGTTTTTTTATCATATTATAGATAGTTTATTTTCTCCTGACGGTATGTGTGTTGGCAGCCTCAGATGAAGATAATGACAAATGTAATAAGTTTAAACATTTATATACACATCTTTATAAAAATACACACGGCTCCATTAGACTGATGAATAAAAACCTATAAAAACTAGTAGCATTTAGTGAGCCGTACAACGTCTTTCCTTCGCATTATTTCTAGAAGTTGAAATCAACGTAATAGACAACAGACGAAGTTCTTATCTCCGCCAGCCACGCCTATAAATTGGGCAGACGAACTGTATGCAATCCGGAAACGAGGCACTCAATCCCACTTTATGGAGGCCGTTTGTTCTCAACTTATTAACTTAACAAACGCCACACAATTGCATTTTTATTTTGCCATAAATTCTAAATGAAGGCAAATCACTTTTATTACTTCCTCTTTAACTGTTTGAGATGGACCTTAAGGAGCTACTTCCCTCTAAAGAGGTTCTTCCTCTCTGTCTCTGTACATTTAGAGATTTGTTTAGCATAGGATATTGTTGACATAGTTGTTCTAAATATAGATTTTTAATTATAATATAATAGCTATTCTTTTATAGTAACGACGATTCTTTGCATCGTTTTCTTTCCATATTACATAATGTGGTAATTGAAAACAAAACTTTTCTTCCCATGCCACTGCGAAAGAACCAAATGCAGATCCTGAAGACTTTAAAGTTGACTTCAATTGATTAAGGAAGTAAGTGTTCCAAGAACGTTTTTGAACTTGAACCTCCGTTTCAACCTAATAAAAAAACTCGAATATTTTAAACAATTTTCTTTTATTATTCCTGTTTAGACTTAGTTATTCATCAATCATTGCCTGTTCAAAAGTTTTCATTAATTGTTGCTCTTTTACACTTGGATCATACCCTTTTACCCAAAGTTTTTATACCAAGCTTCTAACTATATATTTTACAGAATAAAGCTATCTCGGAGAACCTTTCCTTGGTTCTTAACGGATTTCAACGATTCAAGTGTCCATTAATGACTCTTCCGATTTGTATAAAAATTTAAATATATAGGATATAGAATTAGAACACATTTCATTGGATTGGGATTTCTCCTATCCGGAAACTTCTCCGAGATTCCTTAACGGATTTTAACGAAGAGGTGTCTGTCAGTAAGATTTGTACGTGTGCAAAATTTTCTTTGAATTTTGAAATGAATCCAGAAAAACACAATGTATAGGATTTAGAACATATTTATTTAAATAGGGATTTTCTGTAGAATTCTTCCAAAATTTCAACAAATCTCAACGAATGGCGTGTGTTTATAAATAGAAGAAGACTTCAGAGATAAGATGACAAGGCCCGAATTTTGAAATTTAAATTTCGTTACTGAGTTACGGGTCCAAATAAAAAGGTACGGATAATACTTTTAGATTTCAAGTGAAAGAAAAAAAAATCATCAAATATCTATGATAATATTTAAACTATGACTCACTTGAGAAGAGAAATAAAAGAAAAAATTAAATGTCCACGTTCAGGTTAATAAGTATGCAATACAATATAATGCGGCTTATGATTGAAAAACGACATCTTCACAATTCACCCTTTCATACTTCATCCTTAAGGTTAGAAATAATCGTTATTTCTTTAAAAATAAAATTTCGATTTTTCGTTTAAAAGAAACGCATGCGGTATAATTTTCAAATGTCGTTTTTCAATCACAAGCCGCATTATATTGTATTATAAATTACCTCATATAATATTTACGAACGGAAAAATATGTCCAGAGTAGCCAAGTGGACTTGGCATCTGGCCGGTAAGCGGAACACTGTGGGTTCGATTCCCATCCCTGAACACTTTTATTTTTCCGTTTATCATTACTCTTCACAATTCATCCTTTCATACTTCATCCCTAAGGTTAGAAATAATCGTTATTTCTCCTTAAAAATAAAATTGCTATTTTTCGTTTAAAAGAAGCACAGGCGGTATAATTTTCAAATGTCGTTTTTAATAAGTAGGTGTGCGTAAAAGAATAATAATCCCACAATAACATATAGCGTCAAATCAGGTTAATCTCTTTTCAAATATTATTTTGATTTAAATCAATCATCGAATTTCTCTGTTAAATGCTAGCGGTATAGTGCTAAATCAGACATTTATTGACCTAACGCTACAACAAGAGCCTTATTAAGACTTTTCATATTGCACCAGGAGTCCAAGAAAGGTAGAAATAGCAAACAAAGGTAGAAAGTATTAATGAGTAAATATGTAATCAGCTATATGAAAACTTGATGAAGAAATATAACAGCCAATGAGTGCCTTGTCGCATAATTTATTTTTAATTAATTTACGATATAATCAGCTTTTCTAATGAACTGAAAAACTAACAGTACAAGTAGACATAGCTCGCATCAGATAATGAATTAGGAAAATTCTTACAAATATTTTACTTGCAATGAATAACTGCCAATTTTTATCTTTCATCCTAAAGATGGAATCAATGAAAAATGGTCATCCTATCTTGAATTTCATCTCAGCATAACTCACATATTAAGCCAAGGGTATTCTACTATAATTCTAAGCATATTGCCACGAGGGAAATTAGGAAAGACAAACTTCATGATGACACAGCAATTTATTTAAGGCAAGAACAAACTATTAATGATAAACAAAAGATAAGCAATGAAGGGAGTTTACAGAGTAGCAATATATAAACATAGAAAAATGATACTCTGTTAATAAAATAATAAATACTTTGCTACATAGCTCCTTCCCTATGGGAGCTGTGACCCACAGCTTGCAATTATTGTAGTTACTGACATGGATCTGACGTGCTTCTGCCAAGGATTCCATCGAAGTCTTGAAACTTTGTCCCTAGTACCTTTGCGTACTTTTTCTTGCGGCATGAAGAGCGGCTTTGTCGTCGTATCGTCGTCTATAGGGACATCGTCATCTTTGAAGGAAGTCTTGGCTTTGACACGGGGTTGGAATCCTGGAGCCAGTCTCCGAAAATGTAGACCACAGATCTCATGGTCTCTAGGTCTTCTCGGCGATCTTCAGTTTGTCTTCCCTAACTTACCCAGCATCTCCACCAAAATGCCACGTGGAAAATTAGGAAAGACAAACTTGGATAACACAGCAATTTATTTAAGGCAAGAACAAACTATGAATGATAAACAAAAGATAAGCAATGAGGGAAGTTTACAGAGTAACAAAATATAAACATAAAAATGATACTCTGTTAATAGTATAATAAATACTTTGCTACAAAATTTTGCGGGAAACTAGCCAGAATACCTATTGTTAGACTCAACGATCATTTTGATTTGAAATAGAAGATTTGAAATCGTGAATAAACGAGTGTATTAGGTGTTTATAGTGACTATATATTTAGAAGAGCTCTCTCTCATTTTTTTACTTGGTATTTATGAAATTATTGATCTATTGATATTCGTATCTTATGTTAAACATTTTTGGGTGAGCAGAATGGACCCTCTCAATATTTTAGGAAAGAAAAACCTACTAGAGTCTCTAATTTTGGTTAATAAATTCCATTCATGCTCTGTTCTAAATTTCGGTTTTCAAAAGGTCAGATAAACCAATATGCTGTATTAACAATTTTTTTTATTCAACTTACACTGAGGAAAAAGAGAAGAAATTTTTATGCTTTTTTCGTGGACTCTTTACTATGGAAGAAACTACTGATATGAGCCTAAATTATAGTTTTGTGAATTGAATCAAAAATTACTTCGAAGCGGTCCGCTGGAATAATTCCTACACGGAATTCATAAAGATAAGATCAGGTGTTCTGCAAGGAGAACCACATTCCCCATATTTATTCCTGCTTTTCATAAATGATCTCGGCAAAATATTTGACGACTCGAATTTGCCTGGAATATATTTACCTAACTTTGAAAACATAAAAATACTGCGTTATGCGGACGATATAGTTTTAATTGGTAAATCTCGAATTAATCTTCGAATGAAAATTAATATTTAAAAAATATATTTAGAAACTACAGAGGGTGTTCACACTTATAGGAAACAAGTTGTATTATAAAATATTAAAAATTAACACCTTATTTGAAAATTTTCAAATGTTCTATTTGAAAGCATTTTTGTTTATTTACAGAACGGCACCTGATTTTCCACGATAGCAGACACTTTCTGATCATGGTCATACTCAAAAGATCCCATTCTTCCTTTACCACTTTCCAGAGACCTTTAACTGTCCTAGGGTGTTTCTTTCCAAGTGCTCTTTTAAGGCATCCAAAAATGCAAAAATCCATCGGGGCTAAAATCAGGAGATTTTACAGGGGTTCTGTTCTTTGGAATAGTGTTGATTCCTGTTCTTTGCCTTATATCTTCCAAATAAGCTTGGGTTGAAGAGGAGGTATGACTTGTGGCGTTATCATGGTGAAACCAGACTTTGTTGCTGTTTTCCATAGATAGAGGGAATATAATTTAAAAATATAGGTTCTAAAATGTTGTTTTGAATGAAAGCAAGTCAAAAATGATGATTTTTCGAAACAGCGAAAAGTTTATTTTGGCATTTCTTTCAACTTTTCTTATTTTTAATTTTCTTTCATATGATATACCGCATGCCACCATAAATCCTTTGGGGTAACTTTCGGCACATTCCTTCAACCAAATTGGCCAAGATTTTTCCACCCTTTTTTGATAGTATATAGCTCTTTTTCTGTCGCAATCGGTTAAACATACCCATGCTTCGTCATATGTAACAATAAATTTCCATCTATCAGCAGCCAAGAAGTTTTCATTAAAATATCTGCTGATAGTGTGTCGCTGACGAATATGGCTCTGAAACAATTTGTGAACCGCTTTTTTTTTGTAGCTTTTAGGCCTAAATTTCTATTTATTATTTTATTTATTGTTGACAATGATGTTCCTATTAATTTGGCTATATCTCTTTGTGGCATAGAATTTTCTTTTGTAATATATTTTTTCACTTTTTTGACAGTTGCAGGAGTTCTCACAGATATAGGGTGATAATCTTTTGTCCATTTCTCCGTAGGTGCTTTGAATAAAAACTTGATATTTTTTGTCGTGAATAATATTATAAATACCTTTTTTAGAAATGTTGATATAATCTTGTTTGCATATTTTAATTAAGTCCAAATAGGTAAGATTAGCTCTGGAAAGTCCTAAAATATAACCTCTTATGAAATTATTGTATTTGAAGGGCATTTTTTTTTAATAACAAAAGATATGTATTGCGTGTTAGAATTAGCTTAAGCCTTTTCGAATTCCATGTTGTTGATTTTTTAAAATAAAGTAATAGTTCCTTTTTTTACACCGGGCGCTCGTTTCCTATAAGTGTGAACACCCTCTGTAATTTTTTAACTTTGAATGAAAGCAAGTCAAAAATGATTTTTCGAAACAGCGAAACCAGCACGATCTGAAAAATGGTACTGGGGCCAACAAATCATAAACTCTACACAGAAATATTTATCCCTGGGATATCCGCTAACCCCATCAATTTTATTTACCCAAACAGCTCTTCATTTTAAGGGTAAGGCCATAGCAGCTATAGGAGCAGTATGGGAGATTCTTATGAAATCCAAGTTAAATTCTTTTCACTCAACAAAGGAGCTGCTCGATACCATAGTTATAAAAACTCTACTATATGCTTCTTCAATCTGGTCAGATGAACAAGAGTTAATATTGAATAAAATCCAAGATACTTTTCTGAGACGATATCTAAATCGACCAAATTATACACCAGGATATATTTTAAGGATAGAAACAGGAAAAACATCTCTCGCAGTGATAGCAAAGAAATTATTGTTAAAATTCTGGCTAAGAATGCTAAAAATGGACACTACGAGATTACCTTCAATCTCTCTTGCTCACTTGTGGGATGTTTATACCTCTACAAGACAAAATATTGGATTCACAAAGAGTTTAACAAATACATTAAATAACACCGGTTTTTCATGGCTTATCGGATGCTCTGATCACAATATATTGCAAAGTTATATTCCTTTGATTATTAGGACAATGTCAGATCGATCGATACAAGAAGATCAATCAAAAATAAGAAATTAAAAACTTTATCTACATTATAAAAATTTCCATACGTCAATAGAAATAGAATGCTACCTAACCGATGATTTCCATTTACCAGTCAAACGATGTATAGCTCAATGGAGAATACTATTTAGTCTTAAAAAAAAAACAAGTTCTGAAGTTTGAGGCCAAAAACTTAATATGTTCACGGTGTGACACGTAAAAATACTGAAGAACTCCCCCATTACCTGCTTAATTGTACAGCCCTTGATGAAGAAAGGAAGGCCCTATATCAACAAATTAAATGTACCAACATTTCACCCTATGTTTTGCTTTCAAAAATATCAGCAAACAAACTTAAGGCAATAGCTTACTATAATTTTTTTAGATTATCATTATGTAAGGACCAGTCAACAAGTGAATGACTTTGATACGAAGAGTAAAGCCAGTTCAATTTCTATTTCACTACCTATGTAAATAACACAAGATGATTAATACCTTACCCAATTGGGAGAATCTGTATGGGGCGAGTCCCTAATAAAGGCTTTTGTGTGTGTGTATTGCCAATTTATTTAAATACAGAACCAATATTTCAAAGGCAATTTAACCACTGTAACTTCCAAATACACTCGTCGGAATTCTTTTATCATTAAAATTCTGGTGTAAGCTTAAGTAGGTTTAAGAGAGACAGCTCCGACTGGTCTGCATATAACAATGTAACCAGTACTATCTAGTCAAAGTTTTTCAAGGCGGGTTTGGCTGAATTTCACAAGACAAATTTCTTATTGATATAAAACTTCAATTTCACCTATTAAACGAATAAACC